GGCCGGCTGTGGACCTGCGACCGTGGGGCGCGTGGTCGCGCTCTCGCCCGGCCGGCTGTGAGCGCGCCGGGGCCGCGCCCTGGGCTCCAGCCTCCGAGGCTCTGAAAGGGGAAGAGACTCCACCGGGAGCTGGAAGGGGCCCGGGAATGGGCGGGTGCCCCCGGCAGAGCCCGAGTCCATCCTCGCCCTCACCCCGCCTCAGCAAACGCTGGGGAATACTGAGAGGCCACGCGAGATGGGGAGGCTATCGCGGAACCCGCCAAGAATAAGGAATGAATGAGGCAAAGGAACAGACTGGTCACACCCCCCCCCACACACACACCCGCGCGATCGCGCCCATAAAGCAAACATGCCTTTGAGCGTGGGGAATGAAGCGTTGTACCACAGGCACACGCCCACAAAAAATCTTAAGGAAAAAATTATCCACGACGCGTCCAGAGCCGACTTATCTCTCTGTGTGTCGAAAACAAAACAAAAGTGAAAACGTCATCTTTTTCCACTCCAGAACGCCCCCTCCCACTCTTCTAATTTGCGTCCCAGGCGCCATCTTTAGCTCTGAGCCACCAGGGATGGAAACATACGAGATGCGTCTCTGCGGGACGCGACTCAGAGGCCATTTTCTGCAGTTACAGCCGCGCTGTGCAACCTGTTGCTTCGTTCGTGCAGCCAGAGTTATGCACGGAGGCCAGCTCTTTGGTTCCCCTTGGCATCTCCACACCCTCCAAAGCATCTCTCGTATTTCTCTCTAAATCCTGTGAAGAGGCAATGAGAAAGATGACCTACTCCCCTTCGAGATCTCTACTTTGCTTTAAGCCTCTGCGATCCTCCCTGTACTTCAGTGAGATACCCGTAAAGGATCCTAAATGCATCTAATACCAAAACTTATCCATTCTCCCTATTTACCATCCTCTCGTGGCCCCTTTGCCATCCTCCGACTCCAGTTTTGACTCCTAAATTCCATTCTCCACGTGACTACCAGAATGACCTCACTAAAATTGCAAATCTGATCATGCCACTCTCCTGCTGAAAATTCTTCAAAGGCAATCTGTCGGAGAAAATCTAATTACTTTGCCTAGGATACAAGATGCTTCATCTCCCTGACAAGTTTCATCTCCCTTATCTTTTTGTTTCATTTAAAGCCGTATCGGATTATGCATACTGTCTAGTTTTATGCAATTTTTAATTACACGTATCATGCAAAACTACCCTACCCTCTCACGCACATGTTCTTGCACATGTTATCCTCTCCCTGAAGATTCCTCCTTGTGCACTCCTACTTGTACATGTCTCAGCCCAAATGTTACCCATCTTTTGAATCTTGACCAGGTTGACTATCGCCCTCAAACACTCCTGTATATACCGTTAGACTTTGGATACTCATTCTGTAAATTATATTTTCGTTGTTTGCACTGGGTTTAACACATTTTCTCTACTCCTGGCATCTATCACAGTATGTATGGTACTTTATGAACACTTGTTAAATGGGTAATGGATGGTTTATATTGAGCTCCTTCTAGGAGCTATGCGTTATAGGTGTTTTATATACTTTTCGTCTGTCCTCACAACTTCCATTTGAGTACCCGCTTTTACAAAGAGGTTATAATTCTGGCTGCCCATTCTTAGTCAGTGTTACTTTCAGAACATATTCCCCAGACTGGCTGATATGTACACCTGTTATCATCTCTTGCCTTAACCTTTACAATATCTTGCAGAGGTGTGTGTGTGTGTGAATATGGAGGGGGTGACATTTAAGTAAGAACCTGAATAATGTGTAGAATTGTCTAGGTTGGGAAGGGTTTTTGGGAAGAGGAAGGGGAAATATAGTGTGAAAGGAAGTATAGTATACTCGTATATAAAAACACATATAGAAATAAATACAGAGAAAAGTATGTGTGTATGCATGTGTGTCTATCTGTCTAGCTATCTATTATCTATTTTTTCTCTAGTTCTATCTCCCAAAAGGCTCTAGGAGCAATGATGTGCTAGGAGCAATGGTGTGCTAGAAGCAATGAGCACATTGTGCCTAGATCTTGGTTTTTAAACACTAAAGGAACTCCACTTAAGGAACTAAGGCGCATTAGAGAAATGGTTGATTATAGAGAAGGAACAGGGTAAGTACACTGTGAGCCTGGAAAACGTTCATGGCATCAGAAATTAAGGACGTTCACCCAGAATGAAAAAACATATCAAAGGGGCATTGAAGTCAGCTTGACAGCATCTCCACTGGCTACCATGTGGGTCAGTCTGAGGACCAAAATAATATTAATAGATTATAATTTACTAAATAAAACAGGAATATTTGAGTCCATACTGAAATAAATAAATAGTTTGAAAAATGGGAATAAATAAAAGTTCTTCCTTACATTAAAATGCCAACTAGTGCATGTAGAAGGAATGTTATGAATAGAAACATAACCATTTGACCATCATTATAGCAAAAATTAATTCAGGCAAGAATCATCAGTGCATGCAAAACTAGAGGGTGAGAGTATTAAAAGACACATAGTATTTATGTAGACTCAAAGTATCTCCCCACCAAATACTTACTAAATACAAAGGGAAAAAATAGAAACCTGACAATATAGAAATCTGGCACTGGTGATCAAAGTTACCATCACAAGTCAAGAGACAAATCAACATTGTATACTTCCTGTTAAGAGGTACTTAGAACACACCTCTGTGATATTCCTGCTACAAATGCATAATCCAAATCTAATCATGAGGAAAAATCAGACAACCACAAATTTATGGACATGCTACAAAATCATAGAAGTGAATTATTCAAAAGTCAAAGTAATAAGAGACAAAGGAACAACTAAAGAACTTTTTCAAATCGATGGCAGATTAAAACACATGACAACTAAGTGGAAGTCATGATTCGGAATTGGATCCTTTTGTTAAAAAATATTATTAGAGCAATTGACAAATAATATATCGACACAGAAAATGAAAAACAAAAGTAGTATGGCAACAGTAGGGGAATTTGGACAAAGACAGAAGTTCTTTATACTATTATCATTTTTCTGCAAATTTATAATTGTTTTAAATTGTAAAATATGTTTTAAGTTTTGAAAGTGCCAAGGTTTCTGATTCAGTCAACTGGGTGGAGAATGGCTACCTAATTAACAACAGAAAGTCATGAAGATAAAGCAAGGAGAAATAGATGTTTAGTTTCTGTAGGATGTAACAATAGGCAGTTGGGTATGTACTAAACATTTTAATGAGCCCCCATTCAGGCTGAATAAAACAGATATGTTGCTTTAGTTTTCATTACCCAAGAGCGCAAGACTGAAGTCATCTACTGTCCTTGGAGAGGCAAACAATTAAGAGTGGTTCAGGGGCCGGGCTCGGTGGCTCAGCCTGTAATCCCGCGCATTGGGAGGCCGAGGTGAGTGGATTGCCTGAGCCCGCGGGTTCGAGACCTGCCTAGGCAACTTGGGGAGACCTCATCTCTACAATAAATCAAAAATTAGCCGGGCGTGGAAGTGCGCGCGTGTAGCTCCAGCTACTTGGAAGGATGAGGCGGAAGGATCGTCAGAACCCAGCAGGTCGAGGCTGCGGTGGCCGGGAGCGGCCACTGCACTCCAGTCTGGGCAACAGAGTGAGACTTCAACTCAAAAAAAAAAAACAAAAAAAAAACAGAGTGGTACAGGTAGTGTAATAATAATAATTTTAAAAAAACTGGCTGATCATTCATTAAAAAATGATATATGCATGTTTGTATATATAAATATATAACTGTTCAGGAATAAAATAATTTTAGGGTATTGGGAACATGTAAAACAACGAAGAGTGAATTTATTGAATAATACATACATGTTATTGTTACACAAAATTTTTAATTTCCTCTACAGGATGTTGGCTTTATTGCTTCTATTCGTTTGCTAGGGCTGCCGTAACAACGCACTACACACTGGGTGACTTAACAACAGAAATTTGTTTTCTCACAGTTGTGAGTGCTAGAAGTCTGAGATGAAGGTGTCTGCGGGATTGTTTTCTTCTGAGGCTTCTCTTCTAGCTGTCTTCTCCCTGTGTCTTCACGTAGTCTTCCTTCTATACCTATCTGTGACCTAATGTCTTTTTATAAGGACAGAGTCATATTGAATTAAGTCCCACCCTAGTGACTTCATTTTAATTTAATTACCTCTTTAGGGACTCTATCTTCAAATGCAGTCACATTCTGAGACACTGGGGGTTAGAACTTCAACACGTGAATTTGGAGATGGGGCACAACTCAGCCCATAACACTGCTGGAATCGGGTGCTGAAGCCATAACAGATGCAATGAGAGGGACTGATTCTGAGTCAAACAAACAAATTGTATAAAAATAAATTTTAAGTCATCAGAGGGTTTTCATTATAGGCTAATTATTTAGATGATATTAAGAAATTTTGTTAATTACATTGGGTAAAATAATGGTATTGTAGTTATGTAAGAGTATGACTTAAGTGCACATAACAGAATGATCAGGTGTCTGAGATTTGTTTTAAAACATCCCAGATTTTTTTTTTTTTTTTTAAGATGGGGAAGATGACACATACATATCTAAATTTGGGTGATTGTTGAAGCTGACCATAGGTATCTGGTATTTTATACCTTTTCTCTGTGTGCTTAGAAATTTTCATAATAAATAGGACAAATAAAAGTAAGAATACACATATTATTGAGAATTTGAAATATATAGAACCATGACAATAAGGGGGGAAAATACTTAATACCACTACCCAAAGAGAGTCTCAATTAACTTGTTTGACAAATTTTTTTTCAGTTTGTTTTCCATCTATATTTAAATTTGGGTCATATTGTACATAAAATGTTATTTCTGCTTTCTTAAATTAATTTCATTTAATTTGTTATAATTACATTTCCATGCTGTTACAATAGTTCCCACTTATCCACGGTTTTGCTTTCTACAGTTTCAGTTACCTGAGGTTCACTGTGACCTGACAACATTACGGTATTTTGAGACAGAAAGAGACTACATTCTCACAACTTTTATTATGATATATTGTTATATTTGTTCTATTTTATTAGTTGTTGTTAATCTCTTACTGTGCCTAACTTGTGAATTAAATTTTGAGATAGACGTGAAAGCTGATTATATAAATTGGGTCATTCTTGTCATGCTCAACTAAATCACAAAGGAATGACTGGGGGCAAAAGTACTTGGGGACATGGCATCTGCCTCAAGAATTAAATTTTCCACCAGCTCGATTACTGAAACTGCCTATTGTAACCTGAAACTAGTTTTATCTCATAGCTACTGAAACAATCTGCCATGACACTAATATTAGTTTTACCCACAGCCATCACTCACCAATCCAACTAGTGCCAATGAACTTTCTTTCAAAAACAATATGTAACATTTCTCCTTTTTTTTTCTTTTTTTTTTTTTTTACCTTGGAGTCCCACTCATCACCTAGGCTGGAGTGTAGTGGCACACTCATGGCCACCCCAGCGTCCACCTGCTGGGCTCCGGTGATCCTTTGGCCTCAGTCTTCCAAGTAGCCAGAACTACAGGCGCGAGCTACCACGCCCAGCTAATCTTTTTTTTTTTTTAAATTGTAGAGACAAGGCCTTGCCAATTTGCCCAGGCTGGTCTCGAACCCATGGGCTCAGGCAATCACTTCACCTCGGCCTCCCAGAGTGCTGGGATTACAGGCTTGAGCCACCACACAT